GGGTGAAAAGAGAGGAGTTCAAGAAGACTCAGGGTTTTCGGCTCGAGTGAAGAAAGGCTGGAGTTGTCCTTAACTGAGAGGGAAAGGAGCTGGTTTGAGGACAACGTGTATTCTTTGATTAGGTACAAACTCTCATGCGATTGTGTTCAGGTATGAGGCAATTCTTAGGTAAGGGAAGGTGTAACAGTTACCTTTGGGAAGGGCTATGTAGGTTATACAATAAGGGTGACATTGAGGTAGAGGGCTACATCTCATTTTATATCCATTAAGTGGCTGGTATAGAAACATTTTACACTTGAATCTGGTAAATCTGAGATTCTTTAACGTCTTTCGGATCAGAGGTGAACAGAGATATGAGAAAACATGGATAAAGAGCTTTGAAGACAAAATTCAGGCCCAGGCCCCATATTTCTTCATTATGAATTAGGGCAATAAAACTTTTATAGCTGGAAAATTGTTATTTTTCATAATGGCTCCCTTTGTACTCACTATTGTGATTGAGTATTAATACAGTGCATGCTTGGTTCTAAGAAACAGAACTGCTGATGAAAAGAAGGTGTACATGCTTGTTTAGCTGCTTAATAAATAACCATTGGATGATGGTTTTGCTGTATGTTTAAAGGGTAATTCTTCTTCTGTTGCTTTAGAGAGTTCATTTGGCATTCTAAAAATGGACGTAATTTCCAAGGGTGGCCAAAATGTATCAATTAGTCTGACATCTAAGACTTTTTAACGGATCTATAAATTTCCAATTTCCTTTGCCATCTTAACCATGGTAAATCATCCTGAACAAGATCACTGTTTTGAACAACAGCCTCCTTATTAGCTGAGATCAACTGAGATTAGAAAATGAAAAGTACACTAGATACTGAGAACTCTTTACGAAACCATATTTGTAGGATGAGTATGGAATGAAGATTAATGTGTTATTTTCAGCTTCTAAATCATTGATATAAAAATGTACTTTCTGTTTCCCACTGCTGAATTATAATATATATTTGAATGGTTTGCTTGCTTGCAAGTATTATCTTTTCCCTGTTGAGTTCAGGTATTGATGGAAGAGAAGGATTTTTCATTTAAATGTATCTTTCTTTGCACGCCATCTGTGTTTCTGAAAGTGATCTACACATTAAATTGTGTAAAATTGATTATTTTTTCCATTGAATTATAAATTAATGACTAGATTCTTTGTTTTAATTTTCTGATTGATTTTTATTTGCTCTTAGAATAAAATACAAGATCCTTAGCATATTGTGTGGATGTTATGTGATCTGGGCTCTGCCTACCTCTAAAGATCATGTCATTACACCTTCCTCTTCTATCTCCCAGCCCCAGCTCTACTGGTCTTCCTTCAAACCAAATCCTTCAACCTCAAGATTGTTGCATGCATTGTTTAAAATTTTAAATCTCAAACACTTCCTGCTTTATTTTTTTCCAGATAGCACATACAGTACATTACTTTCTTAATTAATTGTCTGTCTTCCACTAAATAGAAAGCAGCCTTCACAAGTACATGGATTTTTATCTCTCTTTGTTCATTGCTGAATCTCCAGCATTTAGAACTATGTTGGTATATACCACCTACTTAAAAAAAAAAAAAAGATGAATGAATGAATGATTTATCCTGGAATACTCTTTCCTTTTCTCTAGACCTAGGTAACTCCTACTCATCATTCAAATTCCAGGTTAAATGTCACTTTTTCAAGCTACCTTTTTTGACCTCTAAGACAAAGTCAGATTCTCTGTATTTCCTGTGCTTCTTCATAGTACCTAATATAACTTTAATTTATAAAGTCCATTATTTGTGAAATCACTTGTTTAATTTCTGACTCCCCCCACCAAGTTGTAAACTCTTGTGGAACAGAAAACCACCTCTATTTTGTTCTTAACCATATCCTCAATAACCAGCACAATGCCTAGGTAGAGCACATAGAGATGCTCAATAAATTATCTGTTGAGCGAAAACATGGGTGGATGGATGGATGGATGGATGGATGGGTAGATGGATTAAGTAACTCCTCATTATAAATTTCAGTAACTCTGTTCCATTTATTCCATATACTCCTAACAAAATCTAGTGTTTCGTGAACCACAAAGGAATGTTTTAGTATATTGGAGAAGTTCCTCTTTAAATGTGCCCCTCCATGAATTCAATAATGCTTGTAGAATCCCTTAGAGTTAATGCTTCACAACCACCTCTTCATCGCAAGTTATTTAGTTAAATAAATACTTCATGAGGCCCTCCTCTGCAGTGGAAAGTAGGTCATGTGAACAGTGACAAGGTCATGAGCTTTAAAACAGAAAGATCTCTTCCTCTTTTACTGCTTGGGCCATCTGGGCCACGTTACCAGTAGAACCTCAGGTTCTTCATGTATCAGGTAGAAATAACAATACCTACTTTGCAGGGTGTTTGTAAGGAGTATTGAGAATGAATGTAACATGCCTGCCACAGAGTAGGTGTTCAAAAGATGGCAGCTGTTACTACTATTGTTAGAAGATAAGCCCTTCTAGAGGGCAGACTGTACGTGTATTCCTAGTACTATAACAGAATGCACTCAATAAAGGTTCGTCAAACTGACCAGAAGTGGGAATAAGTGCTACTTCTTGACTCTCAAGGGACTTAAAATCTAGTTAAGAAAATAAGTTCCAAAACAGATTCATAAAATATTTGGATAATAAAACAATATTTATTATAGTTTATAATACATACAAAATTCAAGCAAAATATGTTACAGACCATAAGTGGTATGGCTGGCCAAGCAGAAAGTAATGAGGTTTCTGGCTGTAGTTACTGAGAAATGATAAATTAACGTGTGTGTTTCTGTGGTATATACCTATAAGCCTCCTATGAAAACATTCAGTTTCTTCAGCAAAATTTGATGCGGGGCTATATCAATATTGAAGTTGTCAAGGATTTCATTTTACTTGGATCCACCAACAACACCCATGGAAGCAGCAGACAAGAAATCAAACAACATATTACACTGGGCAAATCTGCTGCAAAAGACCTCCTAAAAGTGTTAAAAAGCAAAGATGTCACTTTGAGGGCTATGATGCACCTGACCCAAGTCATGGTATTTTCAATCAGCTCATATGTACATGAAACCTGGATAATGAATAAGGAAGGCCAAAGAAGAATCGATGCCTTTGAATTATGGTGTTGGCCAAGAATATTGAATATACCATGGACTGCCAGAAGAACAACACATCTGTCTTGGAAGAAGTACAGCCAGAATGCTCCTTAGAAGTGAGAATAGCAAGACTTCTCTCACGGACATGTTATCAGGAGGAACCAGTCCCTGGAGAAGGACATCAAGCTTGGTAAAGTAGAGGGTCAGTGAAAAAGAGGAAGACCCTCAGTGAGATGGACTGACACAGTGGCTGCAATAATGGGCTCAAGCATAACAACGACTGCAAGGATGGCACAAGATTGGGCATGTTTCGTTCTGTTGTACATACGGTCGCTATGAGTCAGAACCGACTTGACGTCACCTAAAAATAACAACATACCAATGTTGAATAAAATGGATCAACATGCTGCTTCTGTTTTACTTAACACACAAAATCGGATTTTTGATCTTGGGTATCAAGGTGTATTTGTCATAGTAATGGATGCTTTATTTATTTATTTGTAACAATCTGTGTTTAGCTAAAGATCACTAATAGGTTAATATTGGGTAATATTACTCAAATAGGTCTGTATTATGCTGGCTACATGCTAGTCCTTTAAAACTAGAACACAGACTCAATTCCATGTCTCTCTCACTCCTTTGTAGAGTGTTTAACACAGATTTTCAATTTGTATTGCATCATCCACAATCATTACAAATCACTGTCCTTTCGTCTTACCAAACGCTTTGCTTGCAGCTCCAATAGACGGGAGTGAGAGAGCGTGAACAGAGTTTTGTTTTGTTTCTTCTAAGTCATTCTTGCCTTTGTAACTTAAGTGTCTCTGTAAAGGCATTTGACATAGATCCAAACATAAGAGGCAGCCCCATTAAGGCTTCTGGATACACTGTCCATCACACTGAAAGCTTCAGATCTCTTATTACTGAATTGACTGTAACCACCAAACATCTTCAGAAGTCCTGACATTAGAAAAAGAGATGATGATCTTCTTCCACCGACTTCAAACCCACGTGGATGAAATGGTTCAGAATCCACTAGGTCACCTGGCACGCAGGCACACATCTGCTTGCCCTGGCTACACGTGCAGAGGGAAGCCTAGGAGACCACCTGGAGCTCCTGGATGAAGCCACTTGCCCACACACTTGCATCGCAGTGGTGGACAACTCTCCTGGAAATACGCATGCACACACACACTCACACCCATGGGATACACCTAGAGGAAAATATTATTATTTATTCATGCACACACACACACACACACACACACACGCGCGCGCGCTTGGAATACACCTGCATCACAGTGGTGGACAACTCTCCTGGAAACGCGTGTGCACACACACACACCCACAGGATACACCTAGAGGAAAATAAATACTATTTATTCACTTGCTCACACACACACAGACAGCACATACTTAGAATAAAACCAAAACCAAAATCCCATTGCCCTCGAGTCAATTCTGACCCATAGCGACCCTGTAGGTCAGAGCAGAACTGCCCCATAGGGTTTCCAAGGAGCAGCTGGTGGATTCAAACTGCAGACCTTTTGGTTAGCTGCCATAGTTCTCAACTAATATGCCTCCAGGCTTCCCGCTTAGAATAAAGCATTTGCTTATCCAAATAAGTAAAGCTCACTTATTTTACATTCGTTTTTAGGCCAGCACAAAACCCCCGGAATTTTGGCTTGCTTTTTGAAACGAGCCATTCCCAGAGGAGTTCATCTGTGGGTGCGTCTCCCGAGTGAACAAAGCATCAGTAACTCTGCCTGCGTTTCCGCCCTCCCTCAACTCCCGGGGGCTGGCTGGCGCCGGCCGGACCGGGTGTCCTCCCCGCCCGGTGACCGCGCCGAGGGCGGGGCGAGCAGGCGGCCAGGAAATGCCCAGGAGTGCGTGTCACCTGCCCCACCACTTGTTGATTCCCTGGAGCGCCGCGTTCCAAGCCTGGGGCCCCCAGAGCGCTACCTGGCTCACCTGTCCGCCCCGCGCGGCCCCGGGGAGCACCTGAGCCGCCTCGGGGACCCCTGCGCCCCACTTCACAGCCATGAGCAAGCTGGGCAAGTTCTTTAAAGGGGGCGGCTCTTCGAAGAGCCGAGCTGCCCCTAGCCCCCAGGAGGCCCTGGCCCGACTTCGGGAGACAGAGGAGATGCTGGGCAAGAAACAAGAGTACCTGGAAAACCGAATCCAGAGAGAACTCGCCCTGGCCAGGAAGCACGGCACGCAGAACAAGCGAGGTACGCGCGGGGTCTGGGCCTCAGCCAGCTCCTCCAGCCTTGTCCTGGGAACGGTGCCCCCACAGCACCCCCAGGCCCCGGGCGGCCAGGTGGGAGCCCCTTCAGCTCTGCTCCTGCGGTCTATCCGGAAACTGTACTGACCACCAGGGCCGGGACTGGGGCGAGCTGAGGGGGGCTTTTGATTAAAAGCAAAATGTTAAAGGCAGGATTGGTATTTTACTGATTTTTTTTCCCCGTTTTGTCTCTAGTTCCTGTTCTCTCTCCGCTGGGGCTTCTTTATTTAAAGTTCTGCTATTTCGTTCATTGTGGATTTTTTTCTTTGAGTTTTAAAAAGATGGCATTGAATTATTACTTATCTCGATTACTGAGTTTTGGACACTTACTTTAAATTTTGCTCCGGACGCCTTCACCCTAGTCCCAGCCCTGCCGACCCCAAGACTAAACTTCCCATTTTCAAGCTTTCTGCTGTGCGTTTGTGTGCCGAGTGGCCCCATGTTAGCGTGTGCGCACATCCCCAGTGAGGCACGGCCTAGTAAGTCCTGGTTTAGCTTGCTCCTCAGAGGTTGAAAACTTCAGCTGGTTGCTGGGCAGTTGAGGGGGGAAAAAGAAAAAAAGTAATAGAATTAAACTTCCTATCATTGTCCTTTGCATACACAAGGGACTTGGAGTCCGTAGTGAATCTTGTTGCTCCTGTTGAACCTTGAACGGTTTGCACTTTGCAAAACTTAATTGCCTTCTTCAGAATATGGCTCTCTACACAGAGAATAAATAGAACGTGAAGAACAGAGTTAACCAGCAGCCGTAGCATGTATAAAAACCCAGGGAGAAGTTGAAGTGGTTGACTGTTGTCACACCAGGTCCCCGGCAGACCCAGAAACAGAAGTGACCATGCAGGACCTCCCTGACTACCAAACCTTGAACAGCTGCATCCTGAAGTCAGCTTCTTGAGTCATAACAAAGCCTTGAGAAGACTTAGCTCACCCTGAATGATGCTACCACGGTTTAATGCAGGCAAGGAATGATGTCTCAGCCAGGTGACCTTGAAAACTCTGCATCTTTCCCATAAAAGTGTGCCTAATACCTTTGTGTCCACTTATTATCAACACTATAAAGGCCAAGTTTCATTTTTCTGTGCTACTGCATGTAACTTTTGTCCTATTATAGTCTGTTGTAGAGCTAAGTTCTAGTTTCTATTTTTAGTTTATGTGGGAAAATATTTTGGGAGCTTATTAAATGGCCATTTCTACAGAGAGACCATGTCATTCTGGTTTGCTAAGTGTCATTGGTTGTTCTGTGACTTGGCCCTTTCTCTTCATTTGATGGAAATTTGCTTAAAAAAGTTTTTTACCCCCTTTAGTCTGTCACCCACTGGGATTTGTATATAGCTGTGTCTATAGTGGTTTGCTTGTAAATACTGGTTTTAAAAATCTGAAAATTCGAACATCTGCTTCTTGGAAGTAGTAAAAATATAGATTTGCTTTTGAAAGACAAAAATGTAAAATAATACAGCTTTTTTTTCCAAAATGTTCTCCAGGTGGCAATCTACTAAAGTGTATCACATGCAGACTTTAACAATAAAGACCAAAAATAAAAAATAAAAATGAAAGATAAGACTAATTAGAAGCTGTAACGTCCTTAGATCAGGGAAGTTACAGATGCAAGGACCAAGTGCAGACAGACAATTGGTGTTAGAAACGTCACTTATTCTTTGTCATTTATCTTTGGGAGATTTGCTGGTGTTACAGTGACCCTGGGAATAGGAAGAGGCTTGTTAGCATGAGGTCATCTGTAATCTAAACTATGGAAGAATGTAATCACAGGCTCATGCGTTGAAAACACTGTCAACCTCTGCATCTTCCAAATAAACCAGGTAACTTCATATACATGTAGTTACTATCTTCCATTAGCCACCAAGAAATATTTTCACACACATAGTAACGTAAAGCCCAATATAAAAAAAACAAAAACAAAACATTTGCCCTCCAGTCGATTCTGATTCATGGTGACCCCACGTGCATCAGAGTAGAGCTGTGCTCTGTAGGGTTTTTCAATGGTTGAGTTTTTGAAAGTAGATCACCAGGCCTTTCTCTTCCAAGATGCCTCTGGGTGGACTCAAACCCCGGTTAGCTGGCAAACACATTAATGGTTTGTATCACCCAGGGACTTCAAGCCCAACACAAAAAGAACTCAAACCAAACCAGTTGCCGTTGAATTGATTCCAACTCATGGCAACCCTATGTGTGTCCAAGTAGAACTGTGCTCCATAAGGTTTTCAATGGCTGATTTTTTTGGAAGTAGATTGCCAAGCCTTTCTTCCAGGGTGTCTCTGGGTGGACTTGAACTGCCAACCTCTTGGGATGGTAACTGGTTTTTAACTGGGTCCTGTGATACACAATGCCACTGTTAGAAAGGCAGTAATTTATATTATAATCAGAGTGACATATACATGTGCAATTAATTTAAGTTTTCCTTCGGCTAACATGTTGGCAAGAGTTCACAGTTTTTGAGTGGACGGCTAGCATTATTTCAGAAAGGGCTACTCTCCTGACCCCTACAAATTCTTCAATTATCTATCTCTACAACAACCAAAGCTTTGACAGTTAGCAGACTGAATTCAAAATGGATTTTCTTGGTAAAATGAGTAACTTTTTAATTAGCATAATAAATGTTAGAAATGAGATTTTATTGGTGAAATTACGCTATTCTAAAAATGTGGAGTGGCTGAAGTAGTTTAGGGACACTTACTTCCTATCCATATATGAACAAGTTAGAAGAATCTACCAGGTATGTAATTAGCTTTCCATTAGGATGGTACCTCAGGCTTGATCCCCGTCAGTCCAGCCTCTAGTCAGTTTAGGGGATTTCTGATTGAGTGTACCTCCCCGAGGGCACAAAACTCTGCCTTGGAATGTCGCTGTCTGCCTTAGGGCACCCTTTATACACAGTGTGTTGGAGCACCTGGAAAGACATAGAGCTGGAGCTTCACTGAGCTCCCAGAACAGGCTGGGCACACAGTTTCGGCCTGCTTGCTAATAATGTGTTTGTTTAACAAGTGTATACGTGGAATTTAGTCTGAAACTTGCTTTCGTTATAAGTTGGTAGCAAAATTGTGCAGCAGTAGCTAATTCTCCTCACCTGAAACTTTATTCAAATTACTATGATAATAGCTTCTGCTTTGGAGCTCGTAATCTGCTTTGTGGAAAAGGCAACTTCTTATACATCACTTAATTCTTTTTCTGCTTCTTCTAATCATTGTCATCTAGAGCAGTTCTCAACCCTGGGTGAATATTAAAGTTATCTCAGTGCCTTTTCTGTCACCACCGTGGACACTGATATAATTGGCTGGACTGGGCTTAACCCATTGCCGTCGAGTCGGTTTTCACTCATAGCGACCCTATAGGACAGAGTAGAACTCCCCTAGTGGAGGTTAGGCATCGGTATTTTTTTAAAAAGTGCCTCCACCCTTGCTGATTCAGCCCTGTGGCCAGGGTTGAGGATTAGAAGCCTAACTCCATAGTATGCTCGTGAGGTAGGAAAATCAGATCTCTTAGTCTTGCAGAGCTTCCTAACCTTTTCACGTGATGGCACCCATGGGCAATGCTACCATTCATATATCTCACTGAGTTACAAATATAGCAATTCTGGGGACTCTTGATGTGCAAGGCCGCTTGCCTGAAAAGCTGTAGGACATCGGTATCTTAGCATACTGCAAACCCACCCTGTCACACTAGTTTGTCCACCCACCTTAGAGGTCATCTCTTCTAATTCTCTTAGGACGTCTTTTTTATAATATCACTAACAGCTGGTCATCAGGCTTCTGCTTAAATATAATATTCCCATTCAATTTTTAGTAGGTGGGGTGTAGGTTCCAGAAATCTGAACTTTTAACAAATAATGATTCTTATTCGGATACTCACTCCAGTTTGAAAACCTCTGAGGTCTTTATTATTCACAGAGTTTTCAAACTGCAAGGGACCACTCTGCTGTTTGCTCCCGTCACCCGTTCCTCTTGTTGCCTCCCTCCCTCATTATCACTCAGATGCTTGGATGAGAAAGATCTGTTCACCTTCTGTTTACCTGTGTTTACCTCTGTTTACTCTGGAAATATTTCAGGAGCTGCTGACAGGTTCCCATTTGACACATTTGTTAGAAAGTTGTCTTGGTATATAGTTAAGAGCCTGCACTTCAAAGCAGGCAGCCCTGGGTTTGATTCCCAGCCCTGCCCTGCCACGTAGAAGCTGTGTGACCTTAGACCGGTTACTTGGCTTCTCTGCTTCTCAGTTTCCTCATCTGCATAATGGCGATGATAACATTGCTGCTCAGATTTGTGAGGGTTCGTGGTGGTATTGTGTAAAACACTTCGTGCAGCGCTGTATGTATATTAGCCATGGTTATAACAACAGCCTTTTTTTTTTAAAGCTGAAATCTGCTTCCTAGTAAATTCCACTCATTGACCCCAGCTTTGTCTTCGGGACCAACGTTGAGTAAGTCTACTCCATCTGTCATATGAAGACCTCTCCCATATCTGAGGATGGCAGTTATTTCTCTTCTAAGTCTCCCCTTCCTAAACTTCACCTTGTTTACTTCCTTAGTTGCCCCTTACTCCCGAGGTTAGCTTACCAGGGCCGGGTGAGTTCCTAGGGTGTGGGAGTGAGTACCTGGGGCACACTCGTGTGACACTGAGGGCGAGCGCCCCCTTAAATTATGCGCCCGAGGTGCCTCTCTCCTCCTCAGCCTGGTCCTGGCCCTCTTGCTTACCTGGTCAGAGCAGCAACTCCACAGTGTAATTATGTGAAGAAGAGTGGATCCCATCTCAGGCTATCAGTAGGCCTGAAGCTGTTGGGAACTTGGGCTGATAGAGATGAAGGGTTGAGACAGACACGAAGCACCTTTGGCCCAGCATTACACATGATTCCAGTAAAAATCTGGCACGGAGACAATTCAGCCTCTTTACTAAGTGTGTGTTTGGTGGGCAGCAAGTCCCCCATTTTAGTAAGCTG